GAGTTAATCTTGTGGGTTCCATATTTGGAGAAATTGTGAGAGAGAAAGAGTCTATTAGGGGGTCATATTAGATATGTAGTCGAGATTAGAATTGATACAAGTTTTCTATATTAGGAGAAGACATGGGATTAGTAGGATCAAGTTATTCTTAATGCAGAACGATCCGATAAACATCAAAAGGGTAATGTTTTTTTGGCAAAGTGATTAACTGAGACTAAACGGTCACCGGTAAACATCTTTCTCTTGTTTACCAACAAAGTAAATATTAGGCCAGGGAGGTTGCATGCATCTATGTGACTCACTGCTCCTTATTTGGAGAGAATTTGCGACGAGCCTTTGTTACTAATTGGCTTTTTCTGATCTTTAGCCCAAATTGAGATAAGTCATGGGCCAAATCCTAAACAAATCCAACTCGATCTCTCTGTCTCTCTCGTAATGGTGGTGAAAGATTTGTTCTATTTTTTTGGTAAAGGCGTATTATTTTTTTATAAAGAGTATTAAGTCTCTTATTGAAAGTACCAAATGGACCACCTAATGTTATCTCATGATAAGCAAATTAAATGCCAAAACAATTACTACGAAATTCATCAAACCTTTGTGCTTGTGCAGAGAGAGTATAGATGTTTGATCCCAACAGGAAAATTGAGTATCCCAAAAAACAATTAAATAAAAGGCCTCACACGTCTCTATAAAATCATCTGAGAATATGTAAATAGTTACACTCGAGTCTCGAGACCACATGAATATTATTATACCACCATAAACAAACACACACATTCAGAAAAATACATAATCTACCAAGTCAACGTTCAAATTCTTAAAATTTTAACAACACGAAACACGATTACATTTTCTGAAAACTTATGTATCGCAAATTGCCACAATAGTACAAAACGAATGTAATGGAATCCTACTCGTTTTCAAGAAATAAAATAAACCAATAAACATTCCCACGTTATATTATTTAAGATCGAGATTTTGATTCAAAAAAAAAGTACCAAAACAAGTTGGCAGAAAAAACAAGGTGACAGAAACTCAAAAAAGCAACCTAACAGTCTAAAAGACAAAATATCATTAAAACAAGTATGAAAATAAAAATCCTTTATTGTAGTTGGAACACACACAAAAAAGGAATATGTGAAGGTAAAAACTGTGATGAAATCTGCTGCAATATAAGTATAAATTCTACTACATTGAAAATAACAGTAAGTGCTTACAAGGAGTAGTAGTTAATGACTTGAAGCAATG